TTAGGATTTTATATATATAGGTAGTATTTATAAGAGTTTTTATTTAAGTAATGCTTATGTATGCAGACAAAAGTTTATTCTTATAGTTGTTCTTAGTAAAATACTATCTAAAATTATTATGTTTTCCAAGATATTAAGAATTTTCTTAATTAAGTGTAAAACAAAATTTACTGTTAAAATACAATAAATTCAATGTAGAATTTCTGTTTATCCATCAAGCAAAATAAAATATTTGGCTCCCAAAACTCTTGACAGAATTTATCAAAAGAAAGAATTGATAGTGAATACTTACCAATGACCAGTCTAGAAATTTATATATGATATATTTCACATGGAACATTTTATTATGCACATAAAAAAGATAAAGTCTTTAAATTCTTGAACAATAAGAAACAGCAATGAGGAACTGTAAATTACATGAAATGAATTATCCTTTAATATTTTGTGTTGACTTTTGTAATTCTTCATCAATATGAATTTTATAAAACTCATACCTGAAAATTCAAAACAAGACATACACAGAATATTTTGTTATTGTCTATCTATACTTTATAGTGAATGCATAAAGTCATAGTAATTTACACGAATATAACAAATATCTTAGTTATATGCTTTGAAAATTGACAGAATTCATTTTACATATTTTTATTCATTTGTTCCAATTTATGAGCTGCAACCCATGGCCTCTGAGTACATGTGCATGATAAAATTATGAGAAAACAAATTATAAATAGTAATCAGTGACCCCTTGCTTAGCCACTGAACTTTATCAATGGCATGACCTAAGATCCTAGGCATGAAGGCCAATCAACTTATACTCTGTCAGTTCATAAGACAAGAAAATCTCTAAATACAGTCCTCTACATAAAGAACTACCAACCTCTAGTTTAATGAAGCTGAGATTTACTGACTGCTATCTGTAGAGGCCATATAACATATATAATGTACAAAATATAAAATTTACTACAGTGATCTTATGAACACTATTTTATGCACTTAATTTCTTTTTCTAAATTAATTTATACAAATAAATACAATTTGATAATTCTTACTTCTAATCTGAAAATAAGTTTATTTCAGAAAACATCATTTAAGTTTAATAATATTTTTATACTGAAAGAATTAATCTAGGGGCAATTGGCCTGAACATTGTAATGAATTAGAATCTCAGCTATTACATTTTCCACATTTTAATATAGTGACTAGGAATCTGAGAAAACACAAGACAGCTACTTAAAATTTTTGAAATAAGAGGAAATACTTGCTTTTTATCTGTAATGGATAACTATAGATATTTTTCATCCTATTTTACTCCATGTGTTTTTTATATTTATAGCACTTTGATGTTATTTAATAAGTGAAGGACTGTACATCCAGGACCACATTCTCATAAAATATTGAGGGAGCCCTGGCTCAGTGGATAGAGCATTGGCCTGCAGACTAAAGGGTCCCATGTTTGATTACAGTGAAGGGCATGTATCTTGGTTACAAACTCAATCCCAGAATCTGAGGGAGGGAGAGGGTAGAGGTGGGGGAAATATATAAGGATGTGTGCATGGGGAAACAAACAATCAATGTGTTTCTCTCTCATTAATGTTTCTCTCTCTCTACCTCTCCCTTCCACTCTCTCTAAAATTCAATGGAAAAAATATCCTCAAGTAAAGATTAATATATATATATATATATATATATATATATATATATATATATGTTAAAATAAGGTAAGAGACAATGAGTTTCAAGGGAAAGAAAGAGCAGAGAGTCAGAGAAAGTCAGAACAATTGTTCAAGACATTTGGAAAAAGTGTATTTAAGTAAAAAAGTATTCTGAATTAGATCAAAACAAAATACAACATTGTGAATAAACTCAAAGTTTAAAAAGAGTTCTATAAATATTCAGAATGTGTACTTTCATGTAAGGAAAACTGTTGACATATTAAAGTTAGAATTATTTTGGTATAAACTATGAAAGAGAATATATACTAAGACAACTAGACAATGTTCATATGGAAAGGCAAAACACTCAGAATAATCAATACAATATTAAAGGAAAACAAACCCAATTTTACAGTCACTGTACAACTACTAGTACAGTAATGAAGACAGTATGGTACTGCTTAAGGATAGACAAATAAATCAAAGAAATAGAATAAGGAACCCAGAAATAGATCCAAATAAATATACTTACCTGGTATTTGAAAAAGTAAAAAAGGAAATACAATGGAGTAAAGATAACTTAAAAAAAAAAAAAAAAAAGAAAGAAAGAAAAAGAATCAAGACACAGACCTATTACTCTTTTAAAAATTAACTAAAAATACATCATACACCTAAATGCAAAATATATAATTATAAAACTTTTTTCAAAGTAACAGAATGGCCTTAGGTATGGTAATGACATTTTAGATACAACACCAAAAATATAATACTTGACAGAAATAATTTATAATCTGAAATTCATTAAAATAAAAATTTTTGCACTGTGTAAGGTCCTGTCAAGAGAATGAGAAGACATGGCAAATATTGGGATTAATATTTGCAAAAGACACATACTACAAAGGACTGTCATCTAAAACAGACAAAGAACACCTAAAACCCAACAATAAGAAAACAAACAACCCAATTTAAAAAGGAAAAGAAATTAGCAGGCCAAATACCTTAAAAGACAACTCATCAATGAATATATACAAATGGCAAAATAAGCATTTGATAATATGTTCCACATCATTTGGTATCAGTAAAATACAAATTAAAATAAGAATAAAATTACATGCTCAAATTCCAGTGTAACTTCTGAGATGAGAGTGTTCAAAATATATCTGAAACATTAAAAAGAAGCTATGAGCCCTGGCTGGCTTGGTTCAGTGGATAAAACATCGACCTGAGGACCTAAGGATCCTGAGTTCAATTCCAGTCAGGGGCACATGCCCAGGTTATAGGCTTGATCCTTGGTGGGGGGCATGCAGGAGGTGGCCCATCAATGATTCTCTCTCATCATTGATGTTTCTGTCTCTCTCTTTTTCTCTCCTTTCCTCTCTGAAATCAATAAATATATATATATATTAAAGAGACTATGAAAACTGAAATGACATTAGAATCACTGTCTGTAGAAGGTAACATAGACTTGAGGTCTAAACCGAACCAAGCTGATTGTCTGCTATAACAAACAAGTAAAAATTAACTATTTATCCAGAGGATAATAGGAGTGATAAACTCACAATGAAGTTTTAAAATTTTTAAGATAAATCCAAAATTTCTTGGCATGAAAATAATCAGAAATATGTTACAAATTCCAAAGAGAGAAAAAAAATTGATGTTAACTTTAAAGTGTCCCAAATGTTTGAATTACAAGTCAGCTTGAACTGAATTATTGACATCTCTATTCCACAAAGAGAGAACAGTAAATAAATAGGATATTCCTTTTTGTAGTATTATCAATTAGCTATTTTGAAACTACTTTCTGTCAGTTTTAGGTTTAAGCAAATGATTAAACATATTGACAGAAATGAGAGCCCAGTTTCTCACTTTTGGGAGTTGGAAATATCAGTATGAACTCATGGTTTTAAAAAAGAGAAAAAGTGGATAGATGTGAATATTATTTATGACTTATTCCCTTTCTCTCCCCAGTAAGAAAGCCTAGAAGCAATGGCACAGGTAGCTATGAGCACACCAAACACCCAATCTTGGTTTCTAAATACCATTTTCCACTTTTAGGTTGTGAGCATTTTTAGAGAAAGAGCTGATTTCATAAGTAGGATATGGAAATTAATAAGTATGCCTGAAATGTCTTATACTCTCTTCAATAAGAAAGCATGCAAAGAATTAAGGGGACAAACCAAAAAGACATACAGACAGATTTAAAGGGGCCCTACTAAACAAATTAGATATACATTTTTGCATTAAAAATGAATAATTATATTGATAGAATATAATCCATTGCATACACTAAAAGTCCATGGGCCATATTATTATAAATAAATAATACTTTATAGTTTATCAAGCATTCATCATTTTTAATTGGAGGTATCTATTTGCTCATATTGGTGAAAATGGAATTTCCTACAATATGTTTTGAGTCTCTAAAACATGTGCTATTACAATAAAAAATATGAATATAGTAATAGTATATGAACATATAGTATGAGCTTTATAAATACTTGTTAAGTCCAGGAATGAAATATAGTAAGAAAAACAAAAGGTATTACATTTATACAAAGGTATTATTTTCAATACAATATGCTATCTTAAATTTACAATAAATGTTGCAACAATTTAGCCAAACTACATTTTTTATCACCTTTTGAATAACAGATTACATGGTCAACCATATAAAACTTTACTCTAAGCAGCATCCTCTGCTTCCTGATGTTTTACATGATAGAGCTCCCAAATATTTCACAAGGGAATCCCATACAGAGAAAATGAGACACACTCACTGCCGGAAATGGGACACCAGGGAGCTTACTAAGATATTAATACATGTGAGTTACAGTAAATTACACTAAATGAAGACCTGTCACTTCAGGCATTGCGTCTACTGATTGCATGTGAGTGACTCTGGATGAACTGCAAGCTATCACCTACTCACTTGGCATCAAACCAGAAAACAGCAGTTTGCTTCTGTTTCCTATGACAAAAAAGAACAAAATCTGAGTGCGTTTTGTAATTTTTCTATTGTTATATTTTCAAACAACATACATTATGTGCTGTTGATTACCTTCATTTTAAGATCAGGTCCCCTAAATTGGATTATACGCTCACCAATTGGTTAACCTAGATGCTTAAAAAAAAAAAAAAAAAATTAGTGTGTTTTTTCTTGTTTCAATTTGTAATGATTATTTCTTTCTGATTTCTGTATTTTTTCAAATAGTCATATTATTTTCTCTTAATTAAACCATATTGGAATGTAATATGCCCTTTCAGAAAAATAAATGACAAAAGAATCAGTAAGGCAAGTTCACTAATCTGGTTATCCAGTACCGACTAAAGCATTGCCGCACTAACTCTAAGCCTCAACTGCTCTTTTTCTCTCTGGTAACTGACCTTTCACAGTTCCCTGGAAGGAAGTGAATGTTTCAACTGAAAACTTTGAAGTGAACATCACAGCTTTACTTTTTATACTGAACACCTTAATCAGTTCAAGTTCTGTTATGTCAGATACCATATTTGGGAAACAAAAGTAAATACAGTGGTGCCTCGCATAAAGAACGCCTCGCACAGCGAACGCTGCACACAACGAACTTCATTTCATGATTCATACAACGAACTTCGTTTCACACAACGAAGTCGCCCGAGCTTCCACGACCGCTTTGCCCGAGCTTCCACGACTGCTTCGCCCGAGCTTCCACGATCGCTGCTGATGTATTGCATCCTTCCGCGCAGGCACTGCAGGCAGTCGTTAGTCACTGCGCTTAACTTAAGCACGTATCGCGGCAATCGTTCTTCATTACGAATTAAATCACGCACGTATCGTGGCAGTCGTCCTTTTAAGTTAAACTCAATATTTTTTTATATCATGGCTTCTAAAAAAAGCAGGAAGGTGATTTCTGTTGAATAAAAATAATAACAAAAAATTTATCTTTTTTTATGTCATCTTAGCATATTTTATGCTACAGAACGAATTATTTTTTTTTAACATGTATTGTTATGGGAAAACGCGTTTCACGTAACGAACTTTTCGCATAACAAACTTGCTCCTGGAACGAATTAAGTTCGTTGTGTGAGGCACCACTGTAACTCAATTTATGTGCATTTGAAAACTCATAGCTTTTCAAGTCACATCTCGTGTTATTTTTTTACTGATATATTCTCATAGAGTGTAAGTGTCAAATAATGGGAAGTTCCTTGGATTTTATGAATTAAGGACCAAATTCCAAGTCTAAGCAAATTAGGTAAAGCAAACTAAATAAATGAAGCAAGGAATGTCACATCTGTGTGCTTGAGTTTTCTCACTCCTAAAGTGAAAGTATTAAACTAGGTAATCCCTAAAATGTATTGTATATTCAAGTGTGAAATATGTATGTTCATTTAAGTAAAATAAAAAAAGACAAGAAAAATGAGAATAAAGGTCCATGTATGAGAATCCAGTTAGGATGATTTGAGTTCAGGTATTAATTTTCCTGCTTATCCTATTAAAAAGAACACATATATTAAGGATGGCTTCAAACTTAGACACACACTGCCATATGCAATGCCAAATATTCACTTGCCCTTAAAGTGCCATTCACCCACTTTTGGCTACTCACATATCTCAGCTAACTAACTACATACCTGGAGTTTCTAGCTCTAATGACATTTCTAGACTTTGTACCAAAGAGCATGGGATATGAAGTCCTAAGCTTTTGTCCAAGGAATAGTGCTAACTTGAAGTACAGAGATTTAATAACCATAAAAGCATGCGTTTATATCTATATGCCTGCTTATTGTTCTTTTTTTCAATTATCAGGCTGTTTTGATTATGATAGCGTTGCAGAATAATTTGATATCAGATAGCATCAAGTTTGTTCTTTCTCAAGGTTTCTGTGTCTATTCAAGTTATTTTTAATTAAAATGACTAAAATAAAAATACCAAACACAGAAACCATACAATACAATACACATCCAATAAAATTTATAATTGAGGTAAAATACTTGTTACTGTTATTTAAAGTATGCATTATGATATTTATTTATTTATATTTCAAAAAAAGTCTAAAGTAGAAGAGTTATGAAATGAAAAGCATTTATCAGTAATGTGAAAAATTAAAAGAAGGTAAGGGCGATAGGCAATTTAAAGAAAATCTTGTCTTATTTGAACAAAAGTTACATTTGCTGATTATAGTATGCCCTTAATTTTTTAATGTACTCTCTAAACTACTAGAGGAAGAGAGAAACTTATTTTTTAAGTTGGAGGAGAAAATAGTAGAGGAAAAATAAAACAATGAAAAGTAAAAATAGAAAACAGAGTATAATAACAGATATAAAACCTACTATTTGAAGAACCAAGTAATATGTCTACAGAATTTTTTGTAAGTTATTAAATTCAATGCAAGTGTAATTTATAAAAAAACTAGTGTGAAAGGTGAACTATCATATATTTATGATATTTTTATTTTCATTATAACTCTGTTGCAAAGAACATTTGTAAAAGCACATCTGCCTGCTTGTCATTGCCTTAGGATGAAACATAAGGAACTATACTAAAGTTATAAGGACATTTTTAGTTATTTAATATGGACTTAAATAAACATTGTCAAAAAGGAACAGTTCAAAACAGGATTTTACCTTGCTCAATATAATAACATGATATAGAAATTGATCACAGTTTGACATTTCTTTCAAGAGAAAGATTAAGTTCATTTAACAGGTTGTCCACATGTCCTAAGATACTCAGTTTTTTTGTTTTTGTTTTTTAACTCACTGTGCTTTTATGTAGGAAGTCCAAATTTGAAAATTTTCACTTGATTTTATGACATTCTGTTACACTCTTTCTAATTTAGTCATTTTGTCTTAACAATGTCTTACAATTGGCTATTACATCCCTTGAGGAAATGTAAAATTTAAAGAGACATTAAACTCAAGTAATTTCACTGCCTGTCAGAGAAATGACAGGGAGATACTGTTACACATCATGTCATTTTATGACACTTGTGATTAAAATCATATATATTTGTTGAATGTTCAAGTACTGGTAATGTACACATATTCTACAATTTTTTGAGGGTGTAAGAGTAGTTAAAATAAATTATATGGTAAAAATAAACTTGTAGGTGGTACCAACTTTTAAACTTAGTTGTGCTTCAAATGTTGATAAGAGAACTCTTTAAACTTTATAATATACTTTATATAGAATAATTCTATAATTGTAGATAAGACCATGAAGTCCAGTAGTATATCATTTCAACCAAAATGAGATTGATTTATAAATCATGTAGAAATGATTTAAAATCAGAATATTACACAGAGGAGAGGATGTGAGGGGAATAAAAAAATGAATGCCTAGATATGATTCTAAGGAAAAAAATGTGTAAAACATTTTAGTACATATCTTTCTATTCTGTACCACTTTCCACTTCAAAGTAACTTTTTTTTATGTTCTCAAGTGCCTATTGTGTTCATGTTGTTTTATGTCAATTCCCAAAGTCTCAGTATTATCTCACATGACCTTAAATTACCTGCCTCACCTTTCTTTCAAATTTTGGAAAGGAATTCTCTTAGAATAGGTAGTCTCAATTGTATATTATATGTAAATTAACCTCATTAAACTAATTTAATGTTTTTCTAACTTGACAGATAATAATAATAATATAGGCTTCATATCAAATAATGGAGATGAGAAAAAAGATCTTAAGTCTATTTCAGGCCAATTAATTGATCTGTTTGAATTAATTCATGACAAGCAATGTGTGTATGTATGCTGTTTGTAGGTAAATGTGTATGAATTAAGTTCCTTTAACAAATTGTCACAAATGAACTTAATTCAACAGGTTGTGGGTATGCATGAATATGTGTATATATGTGTGTACTAATAATATCTGTTTATCTATAGCACATTAATGTATTGTTACATATAATTTTATATAACAATATTTATTGTAATAGTTATAATGCAATTATGGCAAGTTTTGAAATGTGCCTATTAATTAAGTGAAAGACATATAGATTATTTCATATTTTAAAAATACATTACAAACAATACTATGATAAAAAATAACTTTTATGAATATCTTTATAGATAAGTATCCCTTTACTCTTCTGACTTTTGCTTTAACATGGTTTTCTATGTGGAAGCAATAAGAAAAAAACGGGTTATTAAATGTTTTATCAAAATACCTGACACTATATTGCCTCTCATATTTAGAAAGTGTATAGTTTATAGAAAAATGTTGGCTTGTTGTGGGAGAAGATTCCTTTAAAGATTGTATATGCATTAAGGGGAAAGTTCTTGAGTAAGAGAGCAGAAAAATAAAGACAGCTGAAATATTTTGCATTAAAAAAAATTAGAGTATTTCAAATTTTATCTAATGGTTGAAGAAAGAGCGAAAGAGAGGGTGATGTTGAGGAAAAAGTAAGTGAATAGACTGAGGGAAAATGGAAAGGGGATTTTTATCTGGAAGAGAAGTATAAAAAGAACTGTGATAACTGTGGAGTGAAAGGGGATGGGTAGAGTTGGAAGCCAGTATATGGAAAAAATAATAAAATAAAGTGAAGATTAAAAATAAAGAATGGAAAAACAAAAAGTAATGGAAATAAAAAAAATAAAATTTATGCTGAAATGATAGTTCTATGCAGGACTCTCTTTAGATTACTCCTTTATCTTTAGAATTGGCATAGATTATAGAATATATACACTTTTAAATTATTAAAGAGATAAAGATATGAATATATGTGAAAATAAGAATACAATATAAAAATTAAAACTGAAAATGTTTTTATAAATAATCAAATAGAATTTTTAGATAAAAAATATAGAGATAGAAATTAAAAACTTAATGAATGAGTTAGACATGGCTGAAGAGAGTTTTCATAAACTGGGAAGTACATCTGGAAAAATTACTCAGCATTAAGAAAAAAAGCAAGTAAAAATCAAGATATGGGAAGGGGAGAGTTAGAAGTCATGGGTAATAGAAAAAGGAAGCCTAGTATATATATATACCAGAAATCCAATATATGTCCAATAATAGTAAAAAAAAAAAAAAAAAAAAAAGAAAGAAAAGAAAAGAGAGGGTTGGTTGGGAGGCAATACTTAAGGATAACAGCAAAGAATTTTAAAAAAATATTTTAAAGACTGGAATGTAAAGATTCAAGAAATATAATGCATTTTAAGTAAATTGCTCTTTTTCTTCACTGATTTTTATTGTTTTTACAGTCTAATTTGAGTCACAGTTTTTAATTTAATTAAAGTCTCCTAATTTCTTTCCAAGTGTTTCATACTATTCTAGTAGCAAATTAATTTTTAATTTAAATGCATCTCCAAAATTGATTTTACTTAGTAAATATTGTGATTTTTATTGTGACATCATTTTATTTTGCTTTCATACTAGTTCTAGTAAAGTGATATTTTTCTTTCACATAAAGGAACATAACTTTTTATCTGCTGGTTAATAGTCTCATTCCACAAATCTGCTTTTCACAATAGAAACTGAGGTTACTTTGTATTTACAGTAAAATCTCTATATAATGGACTAGTAGGGTGACAAGGGTCCTTTAAAGCCAAAAGTCTGTTATGTAATAAGGTAGGTTTTCCGAATGCTTATGTTAAAAATTAACAAATTTGTTAGTTTACCTGTTTTTATTTATGTAGACACGTTGGTATAATTAAAATTATTTATAAAAAGTTTGATTTCACAGAAAATGTTTCTATGTGCATTACTATAATTTTAAATGTATACTGAAAAGGTCTCATAAATGCATGCAGTCACAAGTACACAACTGTACACAGCTCACATCCAAACATTGGCTGGCACATGTTACAACTGCTGCAGAAAGTCACACCACAGAACCAATTACTGCTGGAGGCAGTGCAATCATGTGCTAATCATTCACCAAGCGTTGTTTACAAGCTGTGACACTTGCATTTAAATACAGTCAAACTTCATTTCTCCAATGTCTCCCATCTAGAACAATTTGGTTCTCCAACACATTGTTCACAGAAAAAAATGTCTCTGTTGTTGAACCAAACTTTGGTTTTCGACCTGACAAAGTTCATGCTGATACCTGAGCTTTGACAAAAAACAAACAAACAAAAAAGCTGTCTCTCAGTCAACAAACTAAAGAGAGAATGCTTTTGTTGCTGGTGAGATCTATTAGCACAAATTTAAAATCTAAGGAAGCCATCAAGAATGCTAATGTTGCTAAGGGTGTGAAAGAAACAATGATCAGGGGGAATTGAACAGGTAGAAAAATTGTTGGTTTGGATAAATGAAGGCAGTTAGCCAGTGACAACACTTCAGAGGCAGTGATATATAAACAAGCAAATATGCTACATGCTGACCTGAATGCTGAAAATGCTTCCTTTAAGGCTAGGAATTTAAGAAAAGTGTTTATTTACAGGTTAAACCATATATAAAACAGGGAATCATTTGGGGGTCCGAAACGAATTAACTCAATTTATATTATTTCTAATGGAAAAAAATGATTCGTTTTTCGAACAAATCACTTCTTGAACAGCCTTTGAGGATGAATTAAGTTCAAGAACTGAGATTCCACTGTATAGAGATGACAGTTGTAGATATGTGATATTTATTTACCTTGGCAAAATTACTATAGTGTTTTCTCCAACATATGGCCTATTCACTAAAATTTGTTAAAAATAAAAGTGAAATAACAACAAAAAAATAACCTGTTAATTTAATTACAAGCAAATCTTGGTTAAAAGCATTTTAAAGTTAACATGTTGTTAATTTTCACATATGACATATGGATCAGAAATTTTGTCTGTTAAATCCAAAGTCTGAAAAAATGAGGGTTTACTATAATAAGAAACCAAAGTGAATTTGAAAGCAAAGGATATGTGGTAAGAGATGCTGAAGGCTAATCTGAAAGAATTCCTGAAGGAAATCTTACACTCAGGATAGAGACCAAAATAAGAAAATAAATAAATAAATAAATAAAATCTAGGATACTAATCAGCATTCACTATCAGAACCTGATTCCAGCAATCTTCAGGCCAAGATTGCACATGTAAATTGGCAATTACATTATGATGATTTAAGGTGTGTCACCTCACAAAAGACAGTGAAAACTATTACCTGTAAAACCTCACCTAGTTTATAATGTCATTTTATTTTTATTACAGATGATGATGACTTAATTAGACATAGAAATCCTATACAGCTTACTCTTTCTCTCTGCTGAGCGCACCCCCATTTTCTCCATCCCTAATTTTCCCAGGCCCCACTCTCTCTCTCCAGAGCAGTCTGTGCCTCCTTTCTTTCCCTCAGGCTCACTTCCTTTGCCTTTCTCTTTCCGAAGGTCAGAGCGCCTTCTCTTGCCTCTGTGACTTGTTCCTGAGCCCATGCAGCCCAGCTGGCTCATGCCTACCACCTCTGTGACTTTCTGTCTAAATAAATAAATTTAGTTACAAAGAATTTTGCTCATATAATTATGATTTTGCTCGTGTTTTATGATAGCTTTATTTTTACTTTCATTAGGTTTGTATAATTTCTCTATCTTTATAAGTTAAAAGAACATATCTATGTAAAAAGTATGTTTAGATTCATTTACATAGAATAATGTCAGATATCTCTATCTTCAGATTAGATCTTTATTCAGATACAAAGTGAAATTTTACTATTTTTTGAAAATAATTTTATTATGCATAATTCAAACATATCAAAGTATATAATGTACATGTAAATATAAAGAATAATATTGAGCTAAATCTATAATAATAAAAGCATATCATGCTAAGTAGACCAGACAACCTTTAGGATGAAGCTGGGACTGCAAGGGAAGCCTAGGTCCCAGGTGCCAGAGGGAAGCCGGTGTAGGCAGCCCAGGGAAGGAAGGCCTTACTCTTGCATGAATTTCATGTATTAGGCCTCTAGTATTTATATAATAACAACTTGATTTGGAATAATTCTTTTATGTTTGGTAATAACTATATTTAGTATTGCTTAATATTTGCTTGAGTCACCCTATAAAACTTTCTGGACTTAGTAATTTTTAATATGATTATTATAATTACTGTTTCAATACCTTTAATCCTATCTAATAAAATAGTTAATATGCAAATTTACAATCACTCCAACACACAAAATGGCCACCTCCATGTGATTAAAAATAGCTGCCCCCATGTGGACACAAGATGGCTGCCACAAGATGGCTTGCAGGGGAGGACAGTTGTGGGCAGTTAGGGGTGACCAGGCCAGCAGGGGAGGGCAGTTGGGGATGACCAGACCAGTAGGGGAGGGCAGTTGGGGAGACCCAGGCCTGCAAGGGAGAGCAGTTGGAAGGAACCAGGCCTGCAGGGGAGGGCAGTTGGGGATGACTAGGCCAGCAGGGAGGACAGTTAAGGGTGACTGGGCCATAGAGGAGGGCAGTTGGGAGAGACCAGGCCAAAAGGGAAGGGCAGTTGGGGGGGACCAGACCAGCAGGGGAGGGCAATTAGGAGTGATTGGGCCAGCAGGGAAGGGCAGTTTGGGGTAACCAGACCATCAGGGGAGGGCAGTTAGGGGAGACCAGGTCAGCAGGGGAGGGCAGTTAGGGGCAATTGGGCTGGCAGAGGAGCAGTTAGGAGTCAACCAAGCTGTCAGGGGAGTAGTTAGGGCACATGTGTCAAACACAAGGCCCGCGGGCCAAATCCGTCCCGCCAGGCCTTGCAATGTGGCCCTCACCGCACCGCGCTGTCATCACTGCACTCCGCTGCGTTTCCATCACAATGACAGTTTATGACTGTTCAGTAAACCATTCGGCCCGCGATTTAGGCTGGATTTTAGATTTTGGCCCCTTCTCTGATTGAGTTTGACACCCCTAAGTTAGGGGTGATCAGGCTGGCGGGCAGAAGCAGTTAGGGGCAATCAGGCAGAAGCAGGCAAGCAGTTGGGAGCCAGCAGTTCTGGATTGTGAGAGGGATATCCAACTGCCCACCGGGATTGGGCCTAAAAAGGGCAGTCAGACATCCTCAAGAGGTTCCAGATTGGAGAAGGTGTAGGCTGGGCTGAGGGACACCAACCCCTCCCCTCCCCCACCCCATGCATGAATTTCATGCACCAGGCCTCTAGTAGTTATATAACCATTCATATTTTCTATTTCTTCTTTAGTTTGTTTTCATTAGCTAATTTTTTTTCTGGGAATACATTGCAATGCATTTCAAAATTACTAATTTATTGGCATAAGTGTTAATTTTTTTTTATTTTAGTCTTAATCTGTTCTGTATTTATGCTTGCTTTTATATATGAAATTTTGTTTATTTGGAACCTCTCTCTTTTTATTTATTTATTTATTATTTTTAAAATATATTTTATTGCTTTTTTAGAAAGAGGAAAGGAGAAGGATAGAGAATTAGAAACATTGATGAGAGAGAAACATTGATCAGCTGCCTCCTGCACACCACCTACTGGGGATGTGCCTGCAATTGAGGTACATGCCATTGACTGGAATCAAACCTGGGACCCTTTAGTCCACAGGCCGATGCTCTATCTACTGAACCAAACCGGTTAGGGTGGAACTGCTCTCTTTTTATTTCAATGAACATTGCTGGAGATTTGACAATTTTATTAGTCATTCAAGTAACATATATTTGGCTTTATTGATCATACCATTTGTTGTTTTATTTATTATATTTGAATTAATTATATTTTATATTAATTATATTTTACTATTTTCTGATTCTTGTTTCTTTCGTTATTAATTTATTAGTAACTTTTTGTACATTTTTCTTCTGGTGACTCTATGCCCTCACCTATGCATTCCTCTCCCATAGACACTCTTTACTCTCTAAACCTGACTATTTTGTCCCTCGAGTTCCCTTCAGCTACATTCCCTAAGTACTGATAGTAAAATTTTAATTCATTCTAAGTATTGTATAATTTTTTTAGACATTAGATATTTTAAGTTGTATTTTTGTTTTTTCCTAAAAATATACTTTAGGTTGTTTAAGTAGATTTGAAAACTATTTGGGGGGTATTTTTTTTTTTTTTTTTTTTTTTTTTTTTTTGCTTAGGCAGAAAGAATAAGAAATGCACAATTCTAGTAGAGATTAAGAATCCTGGAGGAACAGCATAATTAGAATATGAGATCAAAATCAGATATGGTGACTTAGACACATCAGAGCCATAGCCATGTGCAAGTGTAAATTATGCCAGAAACATAAACTTGAGAACTGTTGGCATGGAGATTGATTTAAAAATCATAGGGATCAACACTATACTCTTGGCAGAAGGTAAACAGTGAGAGCGTAAGAAAGGCCCAGGACCAAGGGCTAAGGAGTCCTAGCATCTAGAAGTCAGAAGATTCTATTAATAACATGGAAGCAGCCTAGTTAACAAAGTGGAAAAGCTTAGTTATTCAGGAGAGTAGAAAAATAACTGGGTATCTATGGGTAGATATTTGGTAAAAAAATTTTGTTTTTATTTGTTTTTCAAAAAGGAAAATACAAGAGCATGTTTGATGCCTGGTTAAAACGAAATCTTGAAGGAAAAAAAAGTGGTTGAAGACACAAAAGAGATGAGGGAAAAATTAGAAAAGTAAAAATGCGAAGCCACCTAAAATAAGGGGAATGGCAATACTAGATGTTGTCAAGAGAGTGAAACAACCATAATTTTGATATAATGTTGGTGAAAATATAAAATGGCACCATGATTATGTTAAAAATTCTGTCAGTTTTTATAGCAACCATATACTCCATGAGCCATCAATTCCAACCACATACTTATTCAAATGAAATAACATGTCCATGAAAAATATATCCACATCCACTTTGCTCATCATACCCCAAATTTCAAAGTAAAAACAACTGTCCACGTATAAAATAGATAAACAAATTGCAGTGTATTCTCAAAATGTAATTTTACTAAGCCATAAAATACACCTGATACATGTAACCATATGGTTGATCTCAGAAAATGATTTGCAGAGAGAGAGAAGCCAAACACAGATTAGTACATACTGCATGACTTTGTTTTATATGAGGTTCCAAAACAGGCAGAACTAACTTTTGTTGGAAAAGATTCTGAAGAGCAGTTTTCCCCATTGGGAAGGGAGTTAGGGTATTGCTTGGGAGGAGAATGAAGGAAGTTTCTGAGGTAATAATAATGTCCTCTCCCTTGACAGGAGCTTGGGTTATATCAAAATATGTATTTATTGAAATTTAACGGTATGCATTCCATTATATGTCACATTTAATTCAAGGTAAAAAAAAAATAGTTCAGCCAGCGAGGCTCAGTGGTCAAGGCACATGCCCGGTTGCAGGCTCGATCCCCAGTGTGGGATGTGCAGGAGGCAGCCGATCGAAGATTCTCTCTCAGCACTGATATTTCGATCTCTCTCACCTTTCCCTTCTTCTCTGAAATCAATATAAATACATTGTTTTTAAAAAGAGCAAAAATAAATATTATTAAGTTCTAGTTCATTATATATACACCGGAGTATTAACAAGAAACGTAACAATGTCTGTAACTTACTTGAAAATACATTTAAAAATTACAAGATGGATTAATGGTGGATGGTTAGGTATCTGATTAAGTTAGTATAGTAAAATATAAATGCCAGAATATAGGTAGTGCCGA